TTTGTTGAATGAAAAAGTGACCTAAGCTTTGAAGGCTGGACAGGAAAGAGCAGGGATGTCTTTCCAAGTATGTGTTCTTCCTAATTCAGTTTTCCATTCTGTTTACAAATTTAAAGTCTGATGGAGCCTGATGTCCCCAAGTGCTTTAACCACCCGAGTGACCATTTTCTTTAGTATCCAAGTAGAAGAACTTGAGCCTTCTTCATTCTGCCTCTGTCTGCACACAGGTTGTATGGTACCCTCCAAATAGTCTGAGGTTTTTCGGGACAGAGCCCCTCAGCCCTGGTGTCCAAGTCCTGGTGGATGGTTTCTTCCCCTGCAGCCAATGTCTCCGGCCAGCCTCGCTGCTCCCCCTCCTTTGCAGGCTGAGCAGGACACCTGCAGCTCCTCCCTTCCTGAGTCAGCCACTCAAGGCGGTGGCGTAGAACAGACCTTTGCTGAAGGCTTGGGGAGGAAGCAGGTGACCCCAGCCCCAATACGCCCAAGTCCCTGGCTTTGTGGCTTCTTTTCCAATTCAAGGCCTTTCTCCATTCCAAGGTCTGTCTTGCCGCCACCTCCCTCTGTGGGCCTGTCCAGATGCCATGCTGTGAGCTCTGCTCCCGCCTTCAAAGCCTCTTCTCCTCTCCCCTCCCTTCCTCTTGTCCCAGCCCCCCAAATCTTCTGCCTCCCCCTTCCAGACTCCCTAGGAGATAGTACATTTCCTAACCTGTCCTGACAACCCCAAGAAGCAGCAGAAACTTTGAAGTGAGAGTTGTCTTTAAAGGACGCTCTGATCAGGCCTCAGGGAGCTCATATCCAAGTACTGGGCTCCCTCCCTACCAGAAGGAGCGCCTTTACAAAGAAAGGGGTGAGGGCAAGGGGGGCAGACCAGGGCATCTCAACTGTTACCCCCCTGCTCTACTACCCAAGTTCATACTGTGGCTCAAAACACCCACGACTTCTGAGCATGTGTTACCCACCAAGGTGACATTAGGGTCCCTGAGAGTGGGACCTGGCGATGGGACAGGACAACAGTCCCAGGGTGAGGAAGCCCAGGCGTGGGGAAGTCAAGTGACGCCCGGGGGCGGGGGGAGGGAGAGTCCACACTCAGCTGACTCCCAAAACACAACAGTGCATCCTTCAAGGGGTCACAGATCGGTGATCTGCCCCCAGGCCGGACAGGGAAGAGAGAACAGAGAACGGTCCAAATAGCAGCAAACGCAGCCCATCCTGCCTCTAAGAGCGAGGAAGCAACCAAGCATGGAGGCCAGGGGCGGGGGTTAGAGGGAGATGGGCCTTCTCTGTGGCCAGGAGAGTCCTCACTGAATTCCATCAACTTGCCCCTGTCCTCCCCCAAATGCCAGGCTTTGGGGGCTGGGGTGGGAGAGCATCACAGAACTCTGGAAGGAGGGAGCCTGATTCTTGCTCAGGCAGTTTGGCAGGGCTTCGAGAAGAGGCCCCCTGAAAGCCCCCGCTGCTGATGTGACACATCAAAGCTGGCACGCAGACAGCACAGTGGCGGGGAGCGACGGGGGGCACTGGGGAGTAGCTTCTGCTCAAAGCTGCCCGCCTGTCCCCTGCCGCGTGAGCTGCAGGGGGCGCTGTGCCCCATCCGGACCTGCTGCCTTTCCGCCTGGGTTCTTTGACGGGCTGGCACCCCCTGCATCCCCGGCTGCCCCCCTCACCCCGCGTCCTGTACCTGTTTGAATGCCGCCTCCTGAATGGGTGTTGTCAGGGAAAATGGCCTCAGGATGGAACCCGGCTCTGTCTGGGGTGAGGAGGGGACCTGAGAGGACAGGAAAGAATGAAAGGGGAAAGGGGGGATGAGGAAAAGCCAGGAGGGGGAGGGCAATGCAGGGTTGCTTCCTGCCTATACCCTCTCACCAAGCTGGAGGTACCTGAATGCCTGGGAGGAAATGGACACTGGCAGAAAGACCCCCACCCAGCAACTCCCCCCTCCCCCACATGAAGGACTCTGGCGGTCAGGTTGGCTTCAGCCAGAGGCTCTCCAGGTGTGTCCCCTAATGACTTTTCAAGTGACCAGCAGCATTCCCATCATTTGAAAAGTCCTTAGAGCCGGGCTTGGTGGCTCAGCCTGTCATCCTGCGCTTTGGGAGGCCGAGGTGAGTGGATTGCCTGAGCCCGCGGGTTCAAGACCCGCCTGGGCAACTTGGCGAGACCTCATCTTTACAATAAATCAAAAAAAAATCAGCCGGGCGTGATAGCACACGCCTGTAATTCCAGCTACTTGGAAGGCTGAGGTGGAAGGATCACCGGAGCCCAGCAGGTTGAGGCTGCAGTGACCGGGAGCGGCCACTGCCCTCCAGTCTGGGCGACAGAGTGAGACTCCAACTCAAAAAAAAAAAGAAGTCATTAGAGATGCACGGTCTTAACTCAACCCCAAATCAGAACTCCTGGGGTGGGGCCCAGCAATCTGTGTTTTCACAAACCCTGCCAGGATTCTGTTGCATGATCAGGTTGAGAACTGCTAGCTTAAGTTGGGAGAAATTTGAGGGGTGGGAGGTGAGGCTGATACTTTCTCAGGGGATGTTGCCACCAGTCTACGTGGTTTGGGTGGGACTGACCCAAACCCATCCAGGGACTGGATGCCAACTGGCCTCCTCCTTGCCTCTCTGGTCTCCTTTCTTCTCTACGCATCACTCATTCATTTATTCATTCGTTCTCTCTCCTTGTTATGTGGCCCCATAGCTTTTAAGTGAACATGTGATAAGGAGGGGTGCCTTCCTAGGAGGGGTGCCTCCTCCCCCATTTTTCCACCGTCTACTGTCTTTTTCCTCCAATTCCACATCCCTGGAAAAGCCATTCTAGGGCTGAGCCTGGTTTTTTTCTTTCCCTTTGTGCTGCCTTACACACCCCTCAGGCCTGCAAAGTGGCTGCTGCAGCTCCACTTCTTACATTCTCTCAGCTTCTGATCTGATGGAAAACAAGGATTCCTGCCCTGACAATTGCACTGATGTCGTGGGCCTGGCTTTCATTGGTAGCGATTGGGTCGCAGACAGCTTCTGAAGCAATCCCAGTGGCCAGGATGTGACATGCAGATCAGCTTGGACCAATCAGGGCCCTCCTCTGGGTCTGAGAGGGGGGTCAGCCACACCCAAACCATATAGGCTGAAGCGTAAGAGGGTGACTCCTCAAAGGAACTTAGGGAGACTGTGTTCCCAGAAGTGGGATATATGAAAAATAAAAATACCAGCAAAGGCTACAGTATTGTTACAGGGAAAGGTGGAGGCGTGCGCTCATCTCCGAGATGGCCGGAGCGCAGCAACTAAGAGTAGGAAGCCTACTGGGAGGGGGTAGGGAAGTAGGGGGAGGTGGGGAGGACAGCGATGAGCCCTCATGCTGAGGCTGAGTCTAGGCTCTGCAGAAGAGGCTGTATCAGGAATCCCCCATCCCTAGCATGGCCCTTGTGTTTGGAGTTTATTTCTGCTTCCCACGTGCTTTATCAGAGACGTGGGTGGGATCAAAGCTGTCCGCTCCTCCCCTGCCATGTGGGCTGCAGAGGGCATGTGCCCCATCCAGACCTGCTGCCTTTCCGCCTGTGTTCTTTGGCTGGCACCCGTTGGGGAAGATTCTTGGCTCCTGACGTGTACTAAAAGAAGGTGACACAGACCAGGTGTAAGCGTGCAGAATCCATCAAGGTGCTCAGGGCATAGTAAGTGCCACAGCACTGAGCCCTTGTGACATCCCATACTTGTCACATTATTATCTCATTTAATCCCCACAGCAACTCTTTGAGGCACGTTCTCTTGGTCTCTTTTACTGAAAAGGAAAGCAGAAGGAAGGCTGCCTTCAGCTTCCTCCTCACAATCTCCCTTTCCTGCGTTTGTCATTCTCAAACCTGCCTTGGCTGGCTAGACCTGTGTGGCTTCAAGTCCTGCCTCCGCTCCTCTCTGACCGTGAAACCCAAGGAAGTAGCTTAACCTCTCTGAGGCTCAGCTTCCCCATCTGTAAAAAAGGAACAAAAATAGTACAGACCGTGCAGGGTTGATCTAAAACTCAAATCATGTAATATTCAACATAGTGCCTGGCCCACTGTACACACCCAACAAATGCTGGCTGTCGTTTTTACTGCTTGTTGAATGAATTAAGGAATTTGAAGCTTCATCAGTTCATTCATCAGCAGGGCTTCCTATGTCCTTGGCACTATTTTGGTGCCAGGGCAGTGGTCTGCTGGTCAATATTTATTTATTTACTTACTTACTTACTTAGAGACAGGGTCTCACTCTGTCACCCAGGCTGGAGCATAGTGGCGGGATCCTGGCTCACTGCAGCCTCAACCTTCTGGGCTGAGGCGATCCTTCTGCCTCAGCCTCCCAAGCAGCTGGGACTGCAGGCCTGCGCCACCACATCTGGCTAATTTTTGTATTTTTTTTTTTTTTTTGAGTTGGAGTCTCACTCAGTTGCCCAGACTGGAGTGCAGTGGCCGCTCCCGGCCACCGCAGCCTCGACCTGCTGGGCTCTGGCGATCCTTCTGCCTCAGCCTTCCAAGTAGCTGGAACTACAGGCGCGTGCTACCACATCCGGCTGATTTTTGGATTTATTGTAGAGATGAGGTCTCGCTGCCCAGGTGGGTCTCGAACCCGCGGACTCAGGCAATCCACTCACCTCAGCCTCCCAAAGCGCGGGATTACAGGCTGAGCCACCGAGCCCGGCTCAGTGCGTGCCCTTTTAAGTTCAAAGAGAGCACGGTAACTCACACTTATAATCTCAGCACTTTAGAAGACTGAGATGGGAGGATCGCTTAAACCCAGAAGTTTGAGATCAGCCTGGGAAACAGAAAATGAAAAAATTAGTGGAGCATGGTGTCACGTGCCTATAGTCCCAGCTACTCGGGAGGCTGAGGCGGGAGGATCGCCCAAACCCAGAAGATAGAGGATGCAGTGAACTGTGATCTTGCCACTGCACTCCAGACTGGGTGACAGAGTGAGGTCTGACTCAAAAAACAAAAAGTTTCAAGATGCAAGTTCAGGTTCTCATCCTGTGTGTCCTGTTTCCTTTAGACACTTCCCAGTAGGCTGCTTATCCAGTTGATTCAGGAACGCCTGGCTGAAGAAGAATGTGTCAAGCGGGTAAGACTCCAGCAAAATGGGGCTCTGTCCCCAGGTCGGAGGGGAGGGTGGGGGTGTGTGCTCATCTCTGAGAGCCTAGATGACCGAAGGCGCACAGAGGCGGTAAAGCAGACCCACAGGAGTTTGGTGAAGGTTAGTCTGCGGATGTGGACTTCACCTTGGTTGGAGGAAAAGTACCAGTGTAGAATTGGTTGTACCTATCACGATGCCCACAGGAAAGAACTGGCCCACGCAGAGTGGTCACAGAGGGAATTTACTGAAAGGACAATTGCAGAAGTGCGGGCGAGTTGCGGCAACCCACAGGCGGCAGTGAAGTGCCCCGGCGGCAGCAGGAAGCTTCCACACCCCTGACCCTGGAGGGGTAAGGGTAGGGAGAGGGTTGTCTGGAGCCGTGGAAGCCCCAGGAGACGGAAGAAGAGGCAGATGGAAGAGTAAAAATTGCACAGGGGCAGAGCAAAAATTAGGGGGTGTCCCAGACTCTTGCCTTCCGTGCTTTGATCTCCCACTGGTGCCCTCTTTGGCCAGATCCAGTGAAGCCAAAGGCAGGAGTCCAAATGAAGCACTCCACTGAGGCCAGCCTCTCGGGGCACAGAGGAGGGTGGAGAAGACAGGACAGGGCTCAGGAGCAGGACAGCAAGCAGAGCGCCCATCTGCTGGCACTGATGCTTGCTGCGGGAGGGCTTTGCACGCGGGCTCAGGCAATCCACTCACCTCAGCCTCCCAGAGTGCGGGATTACAGACTGAGCCACCGAGCCTAGCTTCGCCCAGTTCTCTTAACAGTGCCTTTTACAGAGCAAAATTTGAAAACTCTTGCTAAGTAATTTGGTACCATAGATTTTTAAAATTATTGTTATGAGACTCTGGGTCTTGTTGAAATCCCATGCGAATGTTTTTATCTTAGCAGGTGAAGATTCAGGTGGGCTCAGACTGCACATTCCCCCTGCTTCTCTGGGCGTGGTCTCTGAGTCAGTCCTGTTCTCAGCACCTGTGCAGTGGCTGTGCAGCTCTGTGCTGCGTGTGTGCCATGCTGGGGCAGCTGGCCGTGAGCTGTACAGTGGTTCATCTCTCAGTGTACTAGGAATGCTGTCTAGAGTCAGACCCGCACATATGAAGGGGGACCCCCCGAACCCAGAATTTACTTATTAAAAATGTGTATTTATTCTTACATGTTTAAGCATCAGTCACCTTCTAAGTCCTCTCCGTGGATGCAATACACCTATCGGGACGCTCTTTCCACAGCTCAAAACAGTTTCTGAACATATCCATTTTGATGCCTTTTAGGCTTCTGCCATTTTTTGTTTCACCTCTTCCACATCGGCAAAATGTTTCCCTTTGAGGACATTTTTCATCTGGGCAAACAAACAAAAAAAAAGTCATTCAGGGCGAGGTCGGGTGAGTAGGGAGAGTGAGGCACAGGGGTCCTGTCATTTTTGGTCCAAAACTGCTGAACACTTAGCACAGTGTGGGCAGTTGTGCTCATAAATCACTCATCATGAAATAAGCAAACACACTGAAAGAATCACTACAAAATGGATTCACTGAAGCCAAACGCAGCCAACCACAACAACACTGGCTGCTACATGGATGCCAATGGGTTCCTAGAACACTCACCTAGGAGGGGAAGCCTGCACTACAAGGTTCCCGCCCTTCCAAAGATAATTCCGGGTTATTTTGGTCCCCCCTCCCCCATACACAGCTTGAGGGTGAGCCCTCGAGTTCATAAACAACTGTCCTTCATTACTTTCCTGAGCTCCCCTTTCTGGCATCTTCCTTGGTGTTCTTCTTTTAGCCAGAAACCTGGGGTTCTATTTATTCTGCTCTGTCACATGCTTCCTGGGACTACCCCCATGACCAGGGCCAAGTGACAGGAGGGCAGAAAGAGGAAACATTAGCAGAGTTTTGCTCTATTATCTTGGGATTGGGAAAGAAGGATCCCCTCCTTCAGAGTTTCAGGCACCTGCAGGCCCCCTTTGTCACAGCTGTGCCACCACAGCCTCAGCGGGATAGCCTGGAGCCCGAGGAAACAGAGAAACTCAAAAAACAAAGCCCCCATGGAGTGTTGAGTCCCTTTCCAGCCCTCCCCCGGCCCTCTCTGTTTCCACCCGGTGCCCACTAGTGATTTCAGGTTGCCCTAAGACCAGACCAGGAGATCCTGACTTGGCAGTATTTAGAATTCTAGTCTTCTTCCCTAGTATAGTACTATTGAGTAACTTTTTTTTTTGAGTTCTTTAATAACTGCCCCGTGTATTCTACGCATGCATTATAGCTGCTACCAGCAGGGGCAACAAGGTGGGGGTGTTTACTCCATCTTGCTCAGAACCAGAATTTGTGTGCTTTTTAAAAAAATACATGTGTACACGTGCACAGACATACAGACACATACTCTCTCTTCCTGTCCCTCATTTAAAAATTGATTGAGGCCAAGCGTGGTGGCTCATGCCTATAATCCCAGCACTTAGGGAGGTGGAGGTGAGAGGATTGCCTGAGACCACAGGTTTGATACCAGCTGGGCAACTTGGCGAGACCTCATCTCTACAATAAATCAAAAAATTAGCCGGGCGTGGTAGCGCGTGCCTGTAGTTCCAGCTACTTGGAAGGCTGAGGCGGAAGGATCGCCCAAGCCCAGCCAGTCAAGGTTGTGGTGACCATGAGCGTGCCACTGCACTCCAGCCAGGGTGACAGAAAGATACTCTGACTCAAAAAAAAAAATTATTTGGGGCTGGATGCCTGTAATCCCAGCACTTTGGGAGGCTGAGGTGGGAGGATCGCTTGGTCCTAGTAGTTCAAGACCAGCCTGCAACATAGCAAGACCTCATCTATACAAAACAATTAGCCAGGTGTGGTGGCATGTGTCTGTAGTCCCAGATACCCAGGAGGCTAAGGATCACCTGAGCCCAGGAGATACAGCCATGAGCTGTGATCGTGTCACTGCTCTCCAGCCCGGGTAACAGAGAGACTCTGACTGAAAAGAAAAAAAAAAAAAAGATTTGGAGGCCCAAAATCTGAAAGGATACCCAGCAGTCTTTCTAGCACACTGGTAAATGAGTAGCAGTTCTCATCGGTTGTCTCTGCATCTACATCACGAGAGGACAACCCAGCTGCTGTCTGAGGCTCAAAACTAGCTCTGAGCAGTATGTTTTCCTCTGACTTCAAACTGTCCAGTGAGCCAAAGGTCTTCTGTCCAGGTGAAGGCAAGTGCCCAGAGTCCAGAGGCTGTTTTAAATCAGGGGTAGACACACATTTTCTGTAAAGGCCACATAGTCAATATTTTAGGCTTTGCAGCCTATATGGCCTCTACCAAAACTACTCAACTATTTTTTTTTAACAAGTCGGGCTCTCACTCTGTTGTTCATGCTGGAGCACAGTGGCACGATGGTGGCTCATTGCAGCCTCCAATTCCTGTGCTCAGGTGATCCTTCCGCTTCAGCCTCCCAAGTAGCTGGGACCACAGGCATGTACTACCATGCCTGGATAATTTTTCTTTCTTTCTTTTTTATTCTGTAGAGACAGGGTCTCGCTATGCTGCCCAGACTGGTCTCAAACTTCTGGGCTCAAGTGATCCTCCCTTCTCAGCCTCCCAAAGTGCTGGGATTACAGGTGTGAGCCTCTGCACCTGGCCAATACTACTGAACTTAGACATAATGCAGAAACAGCTGCACACAATACGTAAAGGAAAGGGCATGACTCTATGCCAATAAAACTTTATCAACAAAAGTAGGCGGAAGGCCAGATTTGGCTGGCCTGGGGGCTATAATTAGCCAGTCCCTGTTGTAAATAATACTTTCATGTCATCACGAAAATGTCTGTCCTTTCTCTTCAGCTCTTGATAAAAAGCAAACTTCCCCCAGCCGGGCTGGGTGGTTCAGCCTATAATCCCGTGCCTTTGGGAGGCTGAGGTGAGTGGATTGCCTGAGCCTGCGAGTTTGAGACCCGCCTGGGCAACTCGGCGAGACCTCATCTCTACAATAAATCAAAATGAGCCGGGTGTGGTAGCGCGCACCTGTAGTTCCAGCTACTTGGAAGGCTGAGGGGGAAGAATCGCCAGAGCCCAGCAGGTCGAGGCTACGGTGGCCGGGTGTGGCCACTGCACTCCAGTCTGGGTGACAGAGTGAGACTCCAACTCAAAAAAAAAAAACCAAACAAACAAACAAACAAAAGCGAACTTCCATGCTCTAGGAACATTGGCAGAAAGGCCAGCTTCACCAAGGACTTTCATTTTAACTAATGGTCATGCTACTCCCAAGCCCACCTGCCTCCATTCTGCAGACTCTAATTGAAGGCCTATCGCAGGCACTGCATTAACCTCATTGCTGGGACCCCTGCCTGCACCTGAGCACCTTACTGCCCCCCACTCCCAACTGTCCCCACTTCCAGCACAGTGGTCTTGTGTGCCTTGGGCTCACCGCCCGCTCAGAGACAGAGCCACACATGAGCAAGGCAAGGCAAGACTGTGAGAAGGGGGTTGAGGGGGAAGCCACAACATGTGAAGGGAAACCAGGCCCGCGAGAGTCGGGTTGCTACAGAAGCCGCTAGAGGTAGGGACTGGGGCAGGCTGTGGAGGGGTCATCTGAGGCCGAGGGAATGTCAGCCAGAACCGAGGCAGGGGCCAGACAATCCAGCCCCCACATGACTCCATACTCAGTTCAACCAACCTCAGGGCAACTTTTCTTAAAATCAACCCATCAGCCAGGCATGGTGGTTCTCGCCTGTAATCCCAGCACTTTGGGAGGCTGAGGCGGGAGAGTTGCTTGAGCCCAGGAGTTCAAGACCAGCATCGGCAATATAGCAAGACCTTGTCTCTACAAAAAAATTTTTAAAAATTAACTGGGTATGGTGCTCAAAAGGCTGAAGCGGAAGGATTGCCTGAGCCCGGGAAGTCGAGGTGACAGTGAGCCATGATTGCATCACTGTACTCCAACCTGGGCAACAGAATGAGACCCCTACTCAAAAACAAAAACAACAAAAGCTGACCCATCAAGTGGTCACTCTTTTAAAGGGTT